CAATTTTAACGAAATCGGTTTAGAAATCGTCGAGAAAAGGGGACAAAAAATCGATTTTTGCCCTCTTTTTGCACTAAAAACACACGTGAATCAACACAAAAGTCCCTTTTTTCCGTTTTCCTTTCGTCAAATATTATTTTATAGGCTGAAAATAGAAATCGAGAAAAATCATGGGTAAATTTAGGAGAATGGGTCAGGGGGATTGTGGGAAGAGGAGGGAAGAGGAGGGAAGAGGAGGGAAGAGGAGGGAAGAGGAGGGAAGAGGAGGGAAGAGGAGGGGAAGAGGGAGGGAAGAGGAGGGGAAGAGGGAGGGAAGAGGAGGGAAGAGGAGGGAAGAGGAGGGAAGAGGAGGGAAGAGGAGGGAAGAGGAGGGAAGAGGAGGGAAGAGGAGGGAAGAGGAGGGAAGAGGAGGGAAGAGGAGGGAAGAGGAGGGAAGAGGAGGGAAGAGGAGGGAAGAGGAGGGAAGAGGAGGGAAGAGGAGGGAAGAGGAGGGAAGAGGAGGGAAGAGGAGGGAAGAGATCTGGATGATCATTTTCAATCTCGAGTCATAACGAGCTAGAGCTAGAGCTTAGGGAGCTGGAGCTTGGAGAGCTAGAGCTTGGAGACAACAAAAATGATCACAAAAAAGTCATTCTAAGTTTTGCAGAGTTGGAGAAACTTCGGTAGCTAAAGCAAAGGAAAAAAAGGATGTTTTAACCAGATCAATCGGGGCTTTGACTAAGTTTTGCTTTAGCTTTGGATAGCTGGAGTTTGGATAGCTGGAGCTGGGCTTGGATGGCTGGAGATAGCTGGGCTCTGAAGATGGATTCGAATCCGACGAATCATTTTGATATAGATGTCTTGGACGACTTGGACGATTGCCGTCTTTGCTTCTAAATCCCAGCGTTTCCTATGTGTTCCAACGCGACAACGCGTCAATTCATCGAGCCGGAGACACCCGAGACTGGCTGGAGAAGAAGAAGAAGAAGAAGAAGAACAACAACAACAACAACAACAACAACAACAACAAGAACAAGAGGAAGAACAAGAAGAACAAGAGGAAGAAGAAGAAGAACAAGAGGAAGAAGAAGAACAAGAGGGAGAAGAAGAACAAGAGGGAGAAGAAGAAGAACAAGAACAAGAAGAACAAGAGGAGGAAGAAGAAGAAGAACAACAACAACAACAACACAACTTTGGATTGGCCCACTGGCTTCAATCAATGACCTCTTGACCTCAGTCTGATAGAGAATTTATGGGGAATACTTGTTTAAGCTGTCTACAAGAACGCTTTTGCTGTTTTTTTCTTACAAGACGTTTATTCCACTTAAAACAGCGATCCATTTTGCCTGGAGCGATCTCAACGTCTCAGCGTTGAGATGACAGCGTTGAGATGCAGCGTTGAGATGACCAAGAGGTCAGCGTTGAAATCTCAGCGATCTCTGCTCTCTGTTCTGCTCTCTCTGCTCTCTCTGCTCTTCAAAATCTCATTACTTCAATGTTAAACCGAATTTTTCAAGTAATTAATCGTTCTGTTTTAATCGCTCTGTTTTAATCGTTCTGCTTTAATCGCTCTTGTTTAATCGCTTTGTTTTAATCGCTCTGTTTTAATCGCTCTTGTTTAATCGCTCTTGTTTAATCGCTCTTGTTTAATCGCTCTGTTTTAATCGCTCTGCTTTAATCGCTCTTGTTTAATCGCTTTGTTTTAATTGCTCTTGTTTAATCGCTTTGTTTTAATCGCTCTTGTTTAATCGCTCTTGTTTAATCGCTTTGTTTTAATCGTTCTCGAGCTTTCTCTATTTTATTTTTGTGCTTTTTTTGTGCTTTCAGCGTTCAAAGCTAATTGAGAAATAAACTTTATAGAAAAAAAGAGTGAAAAATCAAATGGACACAAAAAAAAAAACTTCAAGATAAAACAAAAAATAAAATCAAAAAAGCCAAGAAAATCAAGAAAATCAAGAAAATCATCAAGAAAACAAAAGTTTTTTTCGTAAAAAAAGGATATCTTTGTGTACACATTGTTGAAAAAGAAATGGACAAGATTTCACGAAAGAAAAGAATAAACATAAAAAAGAGAAATCAAAGAGAAATCAGAGAGAAATCAGAGAGAAATCGAAGGGAAATCAAAGAGAAATCAAAGAGAATTTAAAGAGAACTCAGAATCCAAAGAGAATCCAGAATTCAAAGAGAATTTAAAGAGAATTCAAAGAGAAATCAAAGAGAATTCAGACTTCAAAGAGAACTCAAAGAGAACTCAGGATCCAAAGAGAATCCAGAACTCAAAGAGAATGCAAACAGAATCCAAAGAGAATTCACAGAGAACTCAAAGAGACCTCAGAATCCAAAGAGAACTCAGAATCCAATGAGAATTCAGAATCCAAAGGAAACCCAGAATCCAATGAGAACTCAGAATTCAAAGAGAATCCAGAACTCAAAGAGAATCCAGAACTCAAAGAGTACTCAAAGAGAATCCAAAGAGAATTCAAAGAGAACTCAAAGAGAACTCAGAATCCAAAGAGACCTCAGAATCCAAAGAGAACTCAGAATTCAAAGAGAATCCAGAATTCAAAGAGAATTCAGAATCCAAAGGAAACCCAGAATCCAATGAGAACTCAGAATCCAATGAGAATTCAGAATCCAAAGGAAACCCAGAATCCAATGAGAACTCAGAATTCAAAGAAAATCCAGAATCCAAAGAGAATCCAAAGAGAATTCAAAGAGAATTCAAAGAGAATTCAAAGAGAACTCAGGATCCAAAGGAAACCCAGAATCCAAAGAGAATCCAGAATCCAATGAGAACTCAGAATCCAAAGGAAACCCAGAATCCAATGAGAACTCAGAATTCAAAGAGAATCCAGAACTCAAAGAGAATCCAGAACTCAAAGAGTACTCAAAGAGAATCCAAAGAGAATTCAAAGAGAACTCAAAGAGAACTCAGAATCCAAAGAGACCTCAGAATCCAAAGAGAACTCAGAATTCAAAGAGAATCCAGAATTCAAAGAGAATTCAGAATCCAAAGGAAACCCAGAATCCAATGAGAACTCAGAATTCAAAGAGAATCCAAAGAGAACTCAGAACTCAAAGAGAATCCAAAGAGAATTCAAAGAGAATCCAGAACTCAAAGAGAACTCAGAACTCAAAGAGACCTCAGAATCCTAACAGAACTCAGAATCCCTACAGAACTCAGAATCCAAAGCTTTTTACAAGTGCCTATTGTTGATTTTTCGTTTACAATTACAGAAATAGAATCTTTGACTAGAAACCATGCACATGTCCATAAAAAGCACAAAAAAAACTCGAAAATCGACAAAAAAATCGAAAATCGACAAAACAGCTGCACAAATCATCAAAAAAAAATGCATAAGAAACGGGAATTTAAACTTAAACAGTAAACTAAAAGATTTTACTGATAATTTACTGATAATTTACTGATCATTTACTGATAATTTACCAATTTGAGGTCCGAAAAGTCGGGGAGAGAGAAGAAATTTTGAGGAAAAATGACATGGCATTGTTGTTTTTTTGTTTCAGGAAACTCTCAGTTCAATCGATTCTTGGAAAAATCGATTCTCAGCTTGGATTCATCGATTAGACTGGAGGTTTAGAGTTCACGAATAGCTGTAGATGCTAAAGAAGATGATTCTATTTGAGAATCGATGAGAAAGCTGAGAATCGATTTTGTCGACTAACGTTTTTCTAATAGGTTTCTAATAGGGCCTTTCTTTGCCCTGGGCCCTGAATGTTTGTCTCAAGTTTTGAGCACATTTTGGTTTCACAGATTCTGGCTAACAGACTTTCGCTGGTCAATGGCTGGAATCACTGGTCAAGGAATGGCTGGAATCACTGGAATCACTGGAATCACTGGAATCACTGGAATCACTGGAATCACTGGAATACTGGATTACTGGAATACTGGATTACTGGATTACTGGATTAGCTGGAATACTGGAATACTGGAAGACTAGAATACTGGAATATTGGAATACTGGAATACTGGAATATTGAAATATTGGAATACTGGAATACTGGATTAGCTGGAATACTGGAATATTGGAATATTGGAATGGCTGGAATAGCTCGATGGCTGGAATAGCTGGAATGGCTGGCTACAGTCAACGACCGGAATAGCTGGCCACATTACCCTGATCCAGTAGCCAGTAGCCAGCTCTAGCACTCAGTAGCCAGCTCTAGTAGCCAGTAACCAGCTCTAGTAGCCAGTAGCCAGCTCCAGTAGCCAGTAACCAGCTCTAGTAGCCAGTAGCCAGCTCTAGTAGCCAGTAACCAGCTCTAGTAGCCAGTAGCCAGCTCCAGTAGCCAGTAACCAGCTCTAGTAGCCAGTAGCCAGCTCTAGTAGCCAGTAGCCAGCTCTAGCACTCAGTAGCCAGCTCTAGTAGCCAGTAACCAGCTCTAGTAGCCAGTAGCCAGCTCCAGTAGCCAGTAACCAGCTCTAGTAGCCAGTAGCCAGCTCTAGTAGCCAGTAGCCAGCTCTAGTAGCCAGTAGCCAACTCTAGTAGCCGGCTCTAGCATCCAGCTCTAGTATCCAGCTCTAGTAGTCGGCTCTAGTAACCAGCTCCATTAGCCAACTCTAGTAGCCAGCTCCAGTAACCAGCTTCAGTAACCAGCTCTAGTATCCAGCTCCAGGACAGCTCTATCCAGCTTCAGTAACCAGCTCTAGTAACTAGCTCCAGGACAGCTCTAGTATCCATCTCTAGTAACCAGCTCTAGCATCCAGCTCCAGTACAGCTTTAGCATCCAGCTCCAGTCCAGCTCTAGCATCCAGCTCTAGTACCCACCTCCAGTAATCGTTCGTCCAAAATGTGCCCAACACTCTAACTAATGTACACGCTTTTGGGGGAATTTTGCTAAACACACACATAATCAGAATCGTAGAAGTTTCCCTCGTTACACCGACCGTACAAGAAATAGGAGAATACGTTGAATAAAGAACTTTTCAGAAAAAAAGAGTGATCGGAAAGACGTAGAACTTTTAGACTTTCAGATAAGAGTCCATCTGCGCACTCTCAGATATCGAAATTGAGTTGATTGTTGGTTTGGGAGAGCTCGTGTCTCAGCACTGCCTCCATATCCATTTCCATTAGTGGTTGATCGGGAAGGGTTAGATTCTCGAGATCTACTGGCAGACTGCCCATCGATGCAACCTGAAATCGGGAATTTGTAATGGAAAGGTTTGCTGGGCTTTTTACAGCACAGTGCTATATCCTGGCCCTATCATAGCCATTCTCTAGCTTCTAATTACCCAACCTGTTGTGAAGCGCATGATTGTGTTGTTGGCAATGACATTCCGGGTGACATATTCCACGTTGAGTATGGAGAGAAACCATAAGAGCCACTGAAAATATGAATTTTGAATGTTAGAAACGTTTTAGACACTACTTTGATCAACTTTTATCAAAAATATCCAATAATTGAAAGGCAAAGGCTTTAAGCTAGAGAAGCTGCTTTGTTCACTGCTTTAAGCTCACAGAGAAGCTCACAGAGAAGCTCACAGAGAAGCTCACAGAGAAGCTCACAGAGAAGCTCACTGTTCTCTAAGCTCACTGTTCTCTAAGCTCAAAGTTTCAGCCGCTCACCCCTGTTTTGGCAATTGACCGAGTGCTGCATTCCGGAGCAACGGATTCTGCATCTGTTGATTCTGCGAGCGCACTGCGTTCAACTCGTGATACGATGGTGGAGCTGTTTGCATCATTGGCGGATCTTGGAGCTAAACGTTTTCGATTAAATGAATAGTTAGATAGAGAAGACTTTGTGCTACACTTTCTGCCCAACTTTCTGCCGAACTTTATGCCCCACTTTCTGTTCAACTTTGTACTCCACTTTGTGCCCAACTTTTTGCCCAACTGTTCAACTTTGTGCCCAACTTTGTACTCCACTTTGTGCCCAACTTTTTGCCCAACTTTATGCCAAACTTTATGCCCCAAATGGGAACCAAATGGGAACCGAATCGATCCAGAGTGGGAACCGAATTGGAAACGAATCAGAATAGAATGGGGACCAAATGGGAACTTTGTGTCCACTTTGTGCCCCACTTTGTGCCCTATTTTGTGCTCCACTATGTACCCAACTCTATGCCCCCCTTTTTACCCCACATGGGAACCGAATCGACCCGGAGTAGGAACCGCATCGGGACCGAATCGAAACCGAATAAGAATGGGAGCCAAATGGAAACTTTTGGCCCATTTTGTGCCCCAGTTTGTGCCCCATTTTGTGCCCTATTTTGTGCCCCACTATGTGCCCCACTCGTGTCCCACTTTGTGCCCAACTTTCTGCCTAACTTTATGCCCCACTTTGTGCCCAACTCTTGCCCCACTTTGTGCCCAACTTTCTGCCTAACTTTATGCCCCACTCGTGTCCCACTTTGTACCCAACTTTCTGATCAACTTTCTGCCCCACTTTGTGCCCAACTTTTTGCCAGATTTTCTACCGAACTTTCTGCCCGACTTTTCCTTTCCCCCCACTCACCTCCAATTTCGCCGTTTTCATCTCCTTGTGCTCTCCATTGATCCCATTGAGAAGAGTTCGACGGAAAGCCGGCGAATTCGCATCAATACAACCCTCGAGGCGAATCTCCTGTGTTCTGTCGACGATATCAGCCGGGATTTGCGGTGGAGCCGAGGCGTCAACCCATGGAGGGAAATCGAAATCGTTGAAGCCCTCCATACTCGGCGAAACACGAGAAGCTGGATTGGTGAGCGCCGAGTTGGCACGATCTCTAGAAAAGGAAAGATTTTAGAGCTATTTCATCTTATGCTTTAAATGAAATGCGTCTCTTTTTGTTTAGCGATATCACTGTCACTTCAAAGCTTCAAAGGAAAGCTTATAGAGCTTCTAGAGCTTATAGGAGAGCTTCTAGAGCTTCTAGAGCTTCTAGAAGAGCTGCTAGAGCTTCTAGAAGAGCTTCTAGAGCTTCTAGAAGAGCTACTAGAGCTTCTAGAAGAGCTACTAGAGCTTCTAGAGCTTATAGAGCTTCTAGAGCTTCTAGAAGAGCTTCTAGAGCTTCTAGAAGAGCTTCAAGAGCTTATAGAGCTTCTAGAGTTTCTAGAAGAGCTTCTAGAGCTTCTAGAAGAGCTTCTAGAGCTTATAGAGCTTCTAGAGTTTCTAGAAGAGCTTCTAGAGCTTCTAGAAGAGCTTATAGAGCTTCTAGAGTTTCTAGAAGAGCTTCTAGAGTTTCTAGAAGAGCTACTAGAGCTTCTAGAGCTTATAGAGCTTCTAGAAGAGCTGCTAGAAGAGCTCACTCACTAACTATAGCTCTACTTGTACTCCTCTACTGCAACACTGCAACACGCTCTACTCCAACACAACACAAAGACCGAACAAACCTAAACATTGGTGGGAAATTTGGATCATCAGCGAAAAGGGGTTCATGTGATGAGATTGAAACTTGTGATGAGGAGACACTTCCACCCATCATCGCTCGAATATCTTTCACACGATTGCGAGCCTTTCGTCGGGTTTCTTTTAGATTTCCCTAAAATTTCGGGATTTAGATTAGATTTAGATTAGAGACTAGATTTAGATCGAACTTCTAACGAAGAAGATTCGATTTAAAATTCTAAGGAAGAAGTTGCTAACGAAGAAGTTGTTAATCAAGGAGTTCTTAACCAAGAAGCTCTTAACGAAGAAGTTCTTAACGAAGAAGATCTGTCTCTCCTTTAAGCCTCAAAACTCTAGACTCAAGACTTACAATCGTTTTTGAATCAGCAGTAGCAGCTCGATCGCGAGTTCGTCGTGGGTTTCGACCTGGTTTTGCGTCTGGATTGATCACCCACCTGAAAACGAGATATAAACAAAACAAACAAATAGATTTTAGCTCTTCCTCTAGATCTTTCTCTAGCTCTTCCTCTAGCTCTTTCTCTAGATCTTCCTCTAGATCTTCCTCTAAATCTTTCTCTAACTCTTTCTCTACAGGGTGCCCAATAATTACGGCAACAAAGAAATAGTTATAACTATAACAACAAAGTTATAGTTAAAGTAGTTAAAAATAGTTAAAATCTGTAAACTATTGTCGAAAAGTACGATAATCCCTTAGATGCTAACGCTAGGCTAACGCTAGGCTAACGCTAGGCTAACGCTAGGCTAACGCTAGGCTAACGCTAGGCTAACGCTAGGCTAACGCTAGGCTAACGCTAGGCTAACGCTAGGCTAACGCTAGGCTAACGCTAGGCTAACGCTAGGCTAACGCTAGGCTAACGCCAGGCTAACGCTAGGCTAACGCTAGGCTAACGCTAGGCTAACGCTAGGCTAACGCTAGGCTAACGCTAGGCTAACGCTAGGCTAACGCTAGGCTAACGCTAGGCTAACGCTAGGCTAACGCTAGGCTAACGCTAGGCTAACGCTAGGCTAACGCTAGGCTAACGCTAGGCTAACGCTAGGCTAACGCTAGGCTAACGCTAGGCTAACGCTAGGCTAACGCTAGGCTAACGCTAGGCTAACGCTAGGCTAACGCTAGGCTAACGCTAGGCTAACGCTAGGCTAACGCCAGGCTAACGCTAGGCTAACGCTAGGCTAACGCTAGGCTAACGCTAGGCTAACGCTAGGCTAACGCTAGGCTAACGCTAGGCTAACGCTAGGCTAACGCTAGGCTAACGCTAGGCTAACGCTAGGCTAACGCTAGGCTAACGCTAGGCTAACGCTAGGCTAACGCTCTAGCTCTTCCTCTAGCTCTTCCTCTAGCTCTTCCTCTATCATCTTTCTCTATTCAGCTTCTCATTTCCAACAAACCATGAAGATTTCCCAGCTCCTTCATTCTGAATTCGCATAAAGCGCGAGTGAAGTGACAAGTTGTGTCGAATCGAATTCTGAAAGATAAAAGATAACTATATTAAAGTCATTATCAATCTTTCTATTGATTATCTTTTTATTTTCCATTTGACGACATCAAATTCCAAATTCCCTGAACTCCCTGAACATTTTTGATTACTAACTTGTTGTTTCTTTTCATCGCTAATCTCTGGGGTCAATCCATGAAAACGCACAAAAATATTCGCTTGAAAAACAAAAATTTTAGCAACGATCTTTGAGGCTTTCCCATTTTCTTTTATATGAAAATGATATTTTGAAGAAATTTTATAATTTATAGCGTTTAATCCTTTTAGCTTCTGGATATGAATCTGGCTCTGGCTCTGGATCTGGACCTGGACCTGTCCCTAGATCTGGATCTGGATCTGGATCTGGATTTGGACCTGAGTCTGGCCCTGGATCTAGACCTGGACCTGGCTGTGGACCTGAATCTGGACCTAGACCTAGAACTAGACCCTGGACTTGGGTAACATTCAAGACTTAGGGTTCAGCCTGGCTAGGAGATACTGAAGCTGAAGGCCCTGAAACACTAGAACCTAGTTCTAAGGGCACTCTGGAATCCTCAGGCTCAAGTTCTGGACCTGAGTCCTGGGTCTAGCACCCAGAACTTAGGCCGGACTTAGGCTTGGCTTAAGCTGGACTTAGACTGGACTAGGCTGGGTTTAGGCTTGGCCTGGGCTAGACTTAGGCTGGGCTTTTGGCTTGAGCCTTTGATCAGACTTTTGACTTTATTAGAACCCCAGACTAGACTCTAATCGATTTTCGCGGGATTGGGAAAGGGAAAAACTCTGCCTATGCAAAGAGAGGGTTTTGGGGTGTCAGGTCAACGCTAGAAAAGGGGCTGAAGGGTACCCTGTCACCCTGACTCTTCGGCTGTTCGCTAGCCTGTCCCCTTTCCGTCATTAGTGCCTAGGGGTCATCGGGGAGAGAGAGAGAGAGAGGAAGAGGAAGAGAGAGAGAGAGAGAGGAAGAGGAAGAGGAAGAAGAGCTAAGCTGTTTCTCAGCTCTTTTTCTAGATTTTCTAGATTATCGCCAGATGCTTTAGTCTTTTCGATAATCGATTGATAGATAGAAGAGTCTAAGTGTTGATTGGATTGGATTGGATTTGATTGGATTTGATTGGAGATTGGATTAGATTAGATTAAACTATGAAAATGGAGTTGCTAGACTTTTCTAGATAACAATTCAATCAAACCTTCCATCCAGCGGCTTCTTCTTGACTAGATCGATCTCGAAAATATGGAATATTATCAGAAAACCATTGATAAATCTCATTCAATTTCAGTCGTCCTTCCGGTGTCGAGTCTAATGATTTGGCGATCAAATCCGAATACGACTCTTCACCCCATGGATTCGGCTTCTTTTGAGCCAATTGATCAGCCGGTTTCTTTCGACATCGCTTTTTTTTTGCTGGAGTTTGTAGAAGGATTGGTAAATGATTTGAGCTACATGGTTGAGTCAATAATTGAGCTACGGTCGGTTCTCTTGAAATCAGCGGACTTGTTGAGTCGAAAAATTGCTGCATTGGCCACGTGTAGCACCGGGAACGAGGCAGAAAATCATCCGATTCGTGGCCACCCTCGAAAAGTGGTGGTGGGAGGAGGGGAAGGGGTTGGGGTGGGCCCTGGAGAGGACCCTGTAGGCCTAGAACCCCGGGCAAGAGGCCCGCCCCTTCATCGCCGGGCATCGACATGGTAAACAAGGTGAGATCACAGAGAAAGTCGATGTTTTTCGAGATTTCGTTGATCCAAGGGTTGCCTAGATGTTGGATTGAAACGTAGAAATAAAAGACATAGAGAAATGGAGAGCAAGAGATTGAAAGAGTTCAAGTAGTGGATGGAGAAGGTAAGGCTAGGCTTGGCTAGGCTTGGCTTGCTTGGCTAGGCTAGGAATTCACTTGTGCCTTTCAAGAACTAGATGGAGTTAACAAAAGATAGGTTTCCAAAGCTTTTAAGGACAAAAGCAAGCTCAGGCTTGGGCTCAGGCTTAGGCTTAGGCTCAGGCTCAGGCCTTAGCTTCTAATGCTTACAAGGACAAAAGATAAACTTTCAAGAGTTGAAGATATAGTTTAAAGTGTCTAGTTTTGCTTTTAGAGCCTGGTTTGGCCTAGTTGATGAATCTAGCTGTATTGATAAGGCCTTGATCTGGCCCTGATCTGGCCCTGATCCGGGCTTGATCCGGCCTTGATCTGACCCTGATCCGGGCTTGATACGGCCTTGATACGGCCCTGATCCGGGCTTGATCCGGGCTTGATCTGGCCTTGATACGGCCTTGATCCGGGCTTGATCCGGGCTTGATCTGGCCTTGATACGGCCTTGATACGGCCCTGATCCGGGCTTGATCCGGCCTTGATCTGACCCTGATCCGGGATTGATACGGCCTTGATCTGGCCCTGATCCGGGCTTGATCCGGCTTGATCTGGCCTTGATACGGCCTTGATCTGGCCCTGATCCGGGCTTGATCCGGGCTTGATCTGGCCTTGATACGGCCTTGATACGGCCCTGATCCGGGCTTGATCTGGCCTTAATACGGGCCTGAAACGAGCTTGATCTGGCCTTGATACGGCCTTGATACGGCCCGATCCTTTATGTCATTTCAAAACTGTTTAAACTTCTTCTACGGGATTCAAAGAAATGCAGAATATGGAATATCAAGATTCTAGTGGCAGATACAGTAATCTAAAAGAGAAATTGATAAAGGGATGTTGTTGGAGATGAAAGAAGATAGAATATATAATAGAAAGATAGAGGAGTTAAGCTTTGAAAGGGTTTGAGAGGGTTTGAGAGGGTTTGAGAGGCTTTCAAAGCCTTTCAAAACCTTTCAAAGCCTTTAAGCTCAAAGCTCAAGGCTCAAGGCTCAAGGCTCAAGGCTCAAGCTCAAAGCTCAAGCTCAAAGCTTAAAGCTCAAGGCTCAAGGCTCAAGGCTCAAGGCTCAAGCTCAAGGCTCAAGCTCAAAGCTTAAAGCTCAAGGCTCAAAGCTTAAAGCTTTAAAGTCTATCAGAAAATTCGGAAAAGCCTTTATGAAGGTTTTGGCTATATTTGGTGGTTGCTGGTCAAGGGAATGAGAAACGAATGAAAGGACAAAGGAGAAAGGAAAGAGGAGAAAGGAAAGAGGAGGAAATAGGAGGAAGTGTGGGTCAGAATAGAGAAAGAGATAGTGGGGGAGTAGGGCAAGAAAGGGTTGGATGAGTGGGTGCAAGCGGGAGGGGTCAGACATTCAGGCGAACACCACTCTCGAGCCACGCACAGCCGTTCCCTTTCACGTGGGGGTCACCGAATCGATTAGTTTCGCGTTTTTTTTTCTAGAACCGTACTATTACGGTAGTAAATAGTGATGAAAGGTCTCTTTTCGATGAAAGTACTCTTTTTGATGAAAATTCTCTTTTTTCAGCTGGAAAGCTCTGGAAATCTAGAAATCTAGAATTATAGGAATCTATAGGTGATACAAAGGCAATTGGAATTGGCAATTGACTCGAATTGGCTTGAATTGGCTTGAATTGGCTCTAATTGACTCTAATTGGCTCGAATTGGCTTTTAGGGACTTTTTAAAGAACCATAGAGCTTTAGAACAACCTTAGAATCTTTGAATAGCCTTAGAACAACCTTTAAACAGCCTTAGAACAACCTTAGAGCCTTTGAACAACCATAGAGCTTTAGAACAACCTTAGAACAGCCATAGAACAGCCGTAAAACCTTTGAACAACCTTAGAACAACCTTAGAACAACCATAGAACCTTTGAACAGCCATAGAACAACTTTTGAACCTTTGAACAACCTTAAAACAACCCTAGAACAACTATAGAGCCTTAGAACAACCTTAGAACAACCTTAGAACCTTTGGACAACCTTAGAACAATCATAGAACAGCCGTAGAACCTTGGAACAGCCATAGAAGAGCCATAGAACCTTTGAACAACCTTAGAACAATCATAGAACAACCATAGAACCTTTGAACAACCATAGAACAGTCTTAGAACCTTTGGACAACCTTAGAACAATCATAGAACAGCCGTAGAACCTTGGAACAGCCATAGAAGAGCCATAGAACCTTTGAACAACCTTAGAACAATCATAGAACAACCATAGAACCTTGGAACAGCCATAGAACAGTCTTGGAACCTTTGAACAACCTTAGAACAACCCTAAAACAACTATAGAGCCTTAGAACAACCATAGGACAACCATAGAGCCTTTGAACAACCATAGAACAGTCTTAGAACCTTTGAACAACCTTAGAACAGCCGTAGAACCTTAGAACAGCCATAGAACAACCATAGAACAGCCATAGAACCGTAGAACAACCATAGAACAACCATAGAACCTTTGAACAACCTTAAAATCCCACACCACTCTTACCAAACTACTCAGTGAGCTCATTTCCCAGCTTGTCCTTGTTCCTGATTCCTGTCCAGTTTGTCCTTAATCCTGATTCAAGTCGAGTTAGGGCTAATTATTCGATTTTACATTTCTCTAATGTTTTACTCTAAAAATTCCTCTTTCCAATGATTTTAAAGCCCAAGAAAAATGAGATTTTCAATGATTTTGATGTTCTCAAGCTCTTTCAGGTCAATCCTCATATTTCAAAAGGATTTCCAAGGATTTCCAACGATTTCCAACGATTTCCAAGGATTTCCAAGGAGTTCCAACGATTTCCAACGATTTCCAACGATTTCCAACGATTTCCAACGATTTCCAAGGATTTCCAACGATTTCCAAGGATTTCCAACGATTGCTCATCACTTAATCACCCTTTTTTTTATCTTTACCGTAATCCAAAAGCTTCAGGGAATAGTTAGGCCAAAAAATTTGGAGTAAACATGATAGATTATGAATCAGTGAAAGAAGAAAATGATGGAAATGAAGGAAAATGAAGGAAAATGATGGAAATAATAGAAAATATTGGAAAAGAAAAGGGAAATGGTTAAAGATTGAAAAGGAAAAGGGAAAAGGAAAGGGAAAAGGCTAAAGAATGAAAAAGAAAAGAGAAAAGGCTAAAGAATGAAAAGGAAAAAAGATTTGTTAACCTTTCTTTTTTGTTAACCTTTCCTGTAATCGATTTGGATTGTTTAAGCAAAAAAGGAAAGTGCTAAAAGTGCTTTAATTAACTAGAGAGAAGTATTACAAGTAGATATCGTTTCTGGAAATGAAATCGATCTTAAATCGATCTCAAATCAATCTCTAAACCCATCTTTTCCTATTTCCAGAAGCTATTTCCATCTATTAAACACTTTAAAATACTTAAAAATTAGTTTTAGTGGTAATACAAAGGAAAAAAGGCAAAAAAAACAGTGAGAGGATTCGAACCAGGGATACCTGGCGCGAAGACCTAGGATACTAACCACTACACCACTTGGCCACTTGATCGGCTGGAGTAATTCGGCCTTATACCCTGGCGGCAGGGTTTTTCCTCGAAATTTGAAAAGGCCTTTTTAGATAGATAGTTAACTCCTTTTGAAGGAGGGGAGATCAAGGCCCTTGTGGTGTAATGGTTAGCACGATTGGTTGGTAAGCGAAAGGTCGTGGGTTCGAATCTCGCTTGCGCCGAATTTTTGATTTTTTCTAGTTTTAACTCAATGAATGGAGTCTAAGCTTTGTCTTTAACTTAAGTCCGTCTTGAGTCACGGGGAACAGATGCGTTGTGGTGTAATGGTTAGCACGATTGGTTGGTAAGCGAAAGGTCGTGGGTTCGAGTCCCGGTGGTGGAACAACAACCAAGTTTTTGAGTTAATTCCATCTAGATCTCATTTCTAGAGGTTTCTTCCTTTCAGAAACGATCTATTCTACTTGTAAAATCTAGTTTAAGTCTAGTTTTTACATTTGTTTTCAACAAAATCAAGTTTATCTTAAAAAAGTCGAACAGAAAAGTGATTTGCTAAGATTAAATGATTTTGGTGATTAGAGAAAGGAAGAAAGAAGGGAAGGAAGAAGGGAAGGAAGAAGGGAAGGAAGAGAGAAAGAAAGGAAGAAAGAAGGGAAGGAAGATAAGGAAGAAAGAAGGGAAGGAAGAAAGAAGGGAAGAAGGGAAGGAAGAAAGAAAGAAGAGAAAGAAGAGAAGGAGGAAGGGAAGGAAGAAAGAAAGAAAGAAGGGAAGGAAGAAGGGAAGAAAGAAAGAAAGAAAGAGAGCAAATCCCCAAGTCAAAAATTATTGAAAATGGGAAAAACATGTTGAGATGAGGTGAGAAATCTTTCATTCTTTCTTCCTTTCTTTCTTTCCCTTCTTCTTCTTCTTCCTTTCTTCTTTCTCTCCTTCTTTCTCTTCTTTCTCACTTCCTTTCTTCCCTTCTTTCTTTCAAAAATAATCTCTCACTAATTCTGAATATTTTTGTTATTTTTCTTCAAATAATTCTTTGATCACCTGAAAAAAAAAAAAAAAATTAGCGATCAAAAATCGGAGAAATTTCTGTACAAAAATGGCTTATCGCTTAATAATTTTGTTTCTTTTTATAATTTCTTTTGTTAATCGAGCAAATGAATATATAATGGAGAAAGAAAAAGCCAAAAATTAGTGTTTTTTTTGGGTAAAAAGTTTACAAATTTTCTCGATTCTCGATTTTAATTGTAGTCATCGTTTTTAGAGTCAAGAATGGAGGTTGAGACAAGGATTTGAGTCTAAGACAAGGATTAGAGACATGAACTAGAGCTTGAGACAAGGATTGGAGTCAAGAATGGAGTTTGAGACAAGAACTAGAGCTTGAGACAAGGATTAGAGTCAAGAATAGAGCCTAAGCTAAGAACTAGAGCCTAAGCCAAGAATTTGAATCCAGAGTAGAGCCTAAGCCAAAAGTTTGAATCCAGAACAGAGCCAAGCCAAGAATTAGAATCCAGAACAGAGCCAAGCCAAGAATTTGAATCCAGAATAGAGCCAAGCCAAGAATTAGAATCCAGAACAGAGCCTAAGCCAAGAATTTGAATCCAGAATAGAGCCAAGCCAAGAGTTTGAATCCAGAACTAGAGCCTAAGCCAAGAGTTTGAATCCAGAACAGAGCCAAGCCAAGAATATCTGATTCTGATTAGTCTGATTCAAAAAGACTCAAAAATCTGATTAGAACTTTTAGTTGATGGTAAAGGCAAAGTTAGAAATGGCAAAAGATCGACAAAAGCTGGGAGCTGGAGCGTGGAGCGTGGAGCGAATCTGGCGCTAAGCCAGGGTACTCTACCCTACCAGGCAACTTAATCAATTCACGTGGAGAACTTTATCAATTCCACCAAGCAGCCTCACTTTTCGTCACGAAAAAGGACTCATTTCCCCTCTCTCTTCCCTGTTTTCTCCTCTCTTTCTCCTCTCCTCTCTTTTTGTCCAAAAAGCGCTCAAATGTTTACTTCAAAGCGAGCAAAAAAAAGGCTAATTATCGAAAAATGAGATTAGTTTTTATGGAAATTATTATGTTTTTGTTTTTTTGAACCTTTTACCTATTTAATTTTAGAGAAACAAACGAAATCAGGGATTAATTGAGGGGGGAATTGAGAGGGGAATTGAGAGGGGAATTGAGAGGGGAGATGGGAGAGGGGAAGTATGAGAGGGGAATGATGAGAGGGGAGCTATGAGAGGGGAATTATGGAAGGGGAATTATGAGAGGAGAATTATGTAAAGGGAATTATGAGAGGGGAGATGTGAGAGGGGAATTACGAGAGGGGAATTATGTAAAGGGAATTATGAGAGGGGAGCTATGAGAGGGGAATTATGAGAGGGGAATTATGGAAGGGGAATTATGAGAGGGGAATTATGTAAAGGGAATTACGAGAGGGGAGATGTGAGAGGGGAATTACGAGAGGGGAATTATGTAAAGGGAATTATGAGAGGCGAATTATGTAAAGGGAAATTCTCGCACTTTTCGAGATTGTTTTTCTCGGGATTTCTTTTTCTTGAAAAACAACGACTTGATGAGCAAATGTTGGTACAAAAGATTGGAAAAGCTTTTGGAATCTATTGGAATCTGGAATCTATTGGAAGAGGGGAGATTTCAGAACGAGAATATCGAATAATGAAGAAATATTTGAGGAATTGAAGGTTTTGAGGGAAATCTGGAGAAAATGGACTTTGAGAATGGACTTTAAGAAGCTTTAAGAGCTTTAATTGAATAGCTTTAAAAGCTTTAATTGAATAGCTTTATCATCTTTAAGCCCAGAATAACTTTAATGCTTAAAAACAAAACGAGATGCAACGGCTGGGATCGAACCCTCGAGCCTTCCCATCCCCCTCGATCTGTAAACCAGCTCGCTACCGACTGAGCTATAGCTGAATGTTGACCAAAATTGGTTTTAGCTGTTTTATAGAATCGATTTCCTCCAGCGGACAAAAGAAAAATTCCGTTTGGAATCGAACCCTCGAGCTTTTGACTCATCATCGATTTATAAACCCGCTCGCTACCGGCTGAGCTATAGCTGCAGGTTGCCCAGGCCTGGTTTTAGCCCTTTTAAAGGATTGATCCCGTTTCAACAGCTCGCAAACAGCTAAAAACCGTTTCCTCTAAGGATCGATTCTTTAAAACAGCTAAAAACGACCGTGGCCAACATGCAGCCATAGCTCAGTCGGTAGAGAGATGGTTTACAAATCGATTGCCAACGGAAAGCTCGAGGGTTCGATCCCGGTCACAGTAATTCGTTTTGTTTTTAAGTATTAAAGCTTTTCTCATCTTAAAGATGATAAAAATATTCAATTAAAGATCTTAAAAATATTCAATTAAACGAAAAGCTCGAGGGTTCGATCCCAGCCAGTGCATTCCGTTTTGTTTTTCTTCAATATTCATCCAAAATATTCAATGAAACATTTTGCAACGGATTTCCGCATTCTTTCCTTTTCATTCTTCCTTTCCACTCTTCCTTTCCACCCTTTCCTCTCTTCCTTTCCACTCTTCCTTTCCACCCTTCCCACTCTTCCTTTCCACCGTTTCCACTCTTCCTTTCCACCCTTCCTTTCCACCCTTCCCACTCTTCCTTTCCACCCTTTCCACTCTTCCTTCCCACTCTTCCTTCCCACCCTTCCTTTCCACCCTTTCCACACTTCCAAATCAAAGATCGATGAAAGAGGAGAAAAACACGAATTACCTAGGTAACTTTCGAAATGAAAAAGCGCTGAAACGGATAAACAGATTTTGAAAATTAGGTTTTTTTACGAAAAAAGGCAACAAAAGAGCGCTGAAATGCTCAAATTTTTCAAGAAAACGACGAAAATTGAGGGATTTTCTTTTAAAGTTTTCAATTTTGTCAAAAAAAAATGTCAAAAACGACTAAAATTGAGAGATTTTCTTCAGGAATTGAGGAAAACTCGGGATTTTGATGTCGTCAAATGTTTAGTGGTTGAATTTTGATGTAATACTGTGTAGAATGGATCTAGCTACGTAGCTAGGCAGTAGCTAGGCGTAGCTAGGCAGTAGAGCTTTTGCAAATCTCATTTTCCCTCTTCCCTACCTTCCATCCAGCCGAGCTGTTCGAGTCGCCTTTGTCACGGAAATAGGGAACGTTTTGAACCATCCATTCGTAGACTGGAAAAGAAATTGCTTTTTATTTGCTTTTATTTGCTTTTATTTGCTTTTATTTGCTTTTATTTGTTTAAATATTCAAATTTTGCAGAGAGAAACGTTTAAAATTCAAAGATTTAAACGATTTTAAGCTTAGAATTGATTTATTGAGTTGAAACTGCGAAAAATCAAAAACTTTGACACTTTGGCACCGCTGGGACTCGAACCAGCGATCTTTCCCTTACTAGCCAATTGCCCTAACCATTAGACCACAATGGACTTGATTTCCTGGCCTCTAGAAGGCAGTTAAGTTAAAGATAAAGCTTAGAATTGGTTTATTGAGTTGAAACTAAGAAAAATCAAAACTTTGACGCTGCTAGGACTCGAACCAGCGATCTTTCGCTTACTAATCAATCGTCCTAACCATTAGACCACAATGAACTTGACCACCCTCTCTCTAGAAGGAGTTAAGTATTAAAAAACCAGAGAAATCACGAAAATCTTGGAAATGATGTCAAAGCCCTTTTTGAAGCAGTTTGAAACCCGCGGCCAACTTGCACTTTTGGTCAAGTGGCTAGTAAGTAAATCTCTCACCCAGAGGACCCTGGTTCGAGTCCGGCTACGGTTTTTCTTTATCAAATTCTAAATAAAGTAAAATTCTAATATAAAGTATAGGTTTAGGTAAGTAAAAATAAAGTTAAATAGATCTATTTACGAGTTTTGGCCTTTAACTGGCCTTTAACGGCCTTTAACGGCCTTTAACGGCTTTTAACGGCTTTTAACGGCTTTTAACCGGCTTTTAACGGCTTTTAACCGGCTTTTAACGGCTTTTAACCGGCTTTTAACGGCTTTTAACCGGCTTTTAACCGGCTTTTAACGGCTTTTAACCGGCCTTTAACGGCCTTTAACGGCCTTTAACGGCTTTTAACGGCTTTTAACCGGCTTTTAACGGCTTTTAACCGGCTTTTAACGGCTTTTAACCGGCTTTTAACGGCTTTTAACCGGCTTTTAACGGCTTTTAACCGGCTTTTAACGGCTTTTAACCGGCTTTTAACGGCTTTTAACCGGCTTTTAACGGCTTTTAACCGGCTTTTAACCGGCTTTTAACGGCTTTTAACCGGCCTTTAACGGCCTTTAACGGTCTTTAACCGGCCTTTAACCGGCCTTTAACGGCCTTTAACGGCCTTTAACTGGCCTTTAACGGCCTTTAACGGCTTTTAACCGGCCTTTAACGGCCTTTAACGGTCTTTAACCGGCCTTTAACCGGCCTTTAACGGCCTTTAACCGGCCTTTAACGGCTTTTAACAAACCCTGTGCGAGTGTGAGGCGTTTCTCCGGGCTTTGCATGATGGCTTGAGTGATGAGATCCGCGTATGACATGCTGCCCCAAGCGTTTCGTCTGAAACTAATCAGAAAAGATTATTTAGACATTGGAGATGGTTTCAGTTGCGGAAATTCGATTGTAAAACCCACCTCGTAGCACTCTTTTTCCCCTGAGGTTGGCCAGGATCCGAAGTATCCGAAGCGCCGGATGATGGAGCAATTCCGCCGCCATAACCCGTCGGTGAAGCCATTCTAAAGTTGAATTTAGAAAGATAAAGACCAAAACTAGTATCCTATTCGTTTTTTCTATTGTTTTTGCTATGTTTTTGGGGTTTTTTTGGATGTTTTTGAGGTTTTTGATGTTTTTCTTTGAGAAAAAACCGAATTCTTAACCCAAACGACTCTTTTGAAATTCTCCCTCTTAAACCCACGCTTTCTAGTCGATTTCTACTCGATTCTATCAAGTTAATGCATTAGAAAGCTAGTGTTTACATAGCTAAACCATTTTTTAAATTGTTTTTTCAGCTATAGACAGTTTTTGAATGTTTAAAGGCGATTTTGAATGTTTAAAAGCGATTTTGAAGGTTTAAAAGCGGTTTTTGAAGGTTTAAAAGCGATTTTTGAAGGTTTAAAAGCGATTTTGAAGGTTTAAAAGCGGTTTTTGAAGGTTTAAAGGCGATTTTTCATCTTTGAAAGCTATTTTTGAATGTTTAAAAGCGATTTTTGAATGTTTAAAGGCGATTTTGAATGTTTAAAAGCGATTTTGAAGGTTTTAAATCGATTTTGAATCTTTAGAAGCGATTTTTCATGTTTAAAAGCGATTTTTGAAGGTTTAAAAGCGATTTTTCATCTTTGAAAGCTATTTTTGAATGTTTCAAAGCGATTTTTCTTGTCTAAAAGCGATTTTTGAATGTTTAAAAGCGATTTTTAAATCATTTTCTAATCAAAATCAAAAAAAAATGCTTTAATCGAGTGAATTCGCAAAAAAATCGATCAAAATCGATCAAAATCGATCAAAATCGATTAAAAATCGATAAAAATGATAGAAATAGATAGATTTATTGAAAAGATTTATAGAATTTGTTCATTTCTTAGGCTTAGTTTTCCCAGAAAACAAATTCAACACAATACCAATCATCCAATTAGAGAATTTGAGGCGAGACTCAAGCGAGAGTTTTTTTTGAGCAAAAACGACAACCTCAATGGCTTAATAATAAGGAAATTCGTCAAAAAAAGAGATTTTTAAAAGAATTTCAATGATTTTCAATGATTTTCAATGATTTTCAATGATTTCCGATAGGATTTAGCCCATTTTTCCTAAGCTAACTCTCAATTAACGCGCTCGAACTTTGTGCTACTGCCTCCCCACGGAAACGCCACCTTTCTAGCGCACAAATGAAACACCTGTGCGCTGGAAAGCCTGCGTTTACACAGAGGACAAGCCGGCAACCCTGGCCCACAGAAAGCTTGCATTTCCAAGAGCACAAAGTACACTCGATTCGTTGCTTACCCGGGTGAGAAGCCGGTCGGATCCGGGCTTCCAACGATCGTTGTTGAGTTTGGTCCAGCGCCCAGATTCTCCGAACTGTCGTACAAGCTGAAAATTTGAATAAAGTTGTTGGATTGGATGGTTTGGATGGCTTAGCTGGCTGGCTGGCTTTGCTGGCTGGCCGAGCTGGCTTAGCTGGCTTGGCTGGCTGGCTTAGCTGGCTGGCTGGCCTAGCTGGCTGGCCGAGCTGGCTTAGCTGGCTTGGCTGGCTGGCTTAGCTGGCTGGCTGGCCTAGCTGGCTGGCCGAGCTGGCTTAGCTGGCTTGGCTGGCTGGCTTAGCTGGCTGGCTGGCCTAGCTGGCTGGCTTAGCTGGCTTGGCTGGCTGGCTTAGCTGGCCTAGTTGGCCTAGCTGGCTTAGCTGGCTTAGCTGGCTTGGCTGGCTGGCTTGGCTGGCTTAGCTGGCTTAGCTGGCTGGCTGGCTGGCTGGCTGGCTGGCTGGCTGGCTTAGCTGGCTTAGCCTCTTAGTCTAGTTTATCTTTTGTACCAATACAACCATGGTTTCTACGGTTTTGACTCGATTTTAAGTCAGACTTCTTCTTTTCTGACTTCTTTTCTCTGTACTTTGTCTTTGAGACGCAACTATTGCATTCAAAAGAGCTCAAAGTACAAGATGGGTAGGCTACAGTAGGCTAGAGTAGGCTAGAGTAGGCTAGAGTAAGCTACAGTAGGCTGCAATAGGCTACAATAGGCTAGAGTAGACTACAGTACTCTGCTAAAGTATGCTACAGTACTCGAACCTTCCCTCCTCCTGTATCGCTTCTTGTATAGTCGGACTTGTCTCCTCATTCCCCTGTCCAGGCCTTCTCAATGGCCAAGTATTGCATCGATCTCTAGCCATTGGCGGGAATTCATCGCCACTTGCTGAATGCTCAGACTCTTCGAATCCTTGAGTAGTCAAGTATTGCTCATTGTTGAAGAGATATGAGGGTCCAGCTGTTGAATGGGAAAGTCCAAGAGCACCGGGTGAGTTTACAGTGGCGCCACTGATTGGCATAGGTAAAACCCCGGAGATGCCAGAGAGATTCGAGATTCCGGAGCTTCCGGAGATTCCGGAGATTCCAGAGATTCCAGAGATCATTGGACCATCTCGATTAGAGAGTAAGTGATGGGGATCCATCGGGAATTGTTGAAAGGGAACCTGATCGTTGCAATGAGTTGATGAAGAGACCTGGAAATGGAAGAGTTTGTGAAGGAGAAGGAAATGAAGAGAAGAATGGAGAGAAGGATGGAGAGAAGAATGGAGAGAAGAATAAAGACAAGGATAAGACAAGGATGAGACAAGAATGGAGGCAAGGATGAGACAAGGATGGAGGCAAGGATGAGACAAGGATGGAGGCAAGGATGAGACAAGAATGGAGGCAAGGATGAGACAAGGATGAAGACAAGGATGAGACAAGGATGGAGACAAGGATGGAGAGAAGAATGAAGACAAGGATGAGACAAGGATGGAGACAAGGATGGAGACAAGGATGGAGACAAGGATGGAGACAAGGATGGAGAGAAGAATGAAGAGAAGAATGAAGACAAGAATGAAGACAAGATTGTTCAAAGAATTGTTGAGGCTAAATCTAGTTATGGGCATAGGTAAGGATCGAAATAGTAAAGGAGAAGAAGAAGTAATTAAAAGAGTTCCTTGAATGACCATTGGTCATGAATGAACAAGGTAAAGGCCTAGCTTTGGTCAAGGCTAGCTTTTGTAAAGGCTAGCTTAGACCTAGCTTTCCTCTAGGCTAGCTTAAGCCTAGCTTTCTTCAAGGCTAGCTTAAGCCTAGCTTTCCTCTAGGCTAGCTTAGGCCTAGCTTTCTTCAAGGCTAGATTAGGCCTAGCTTTCCTCTAGGCTAGCTTAGGCCTAGCTTTCCTCTAGGCTAGCTTAGGCCTAGCTTTCTTCTAGGCTAGCTTAGGCCTAGCTTTCCTCTAGGCTAGCTTAGGCCTAGCTTCCTTCAAGGCTAGATTAGGCCTAGCTTTCTTCAAGGCTAGCTTAGACCTAGCTTTCTTCAAGGCTAGCTTAGGCCTAGCTTTCTTAAACGCTAGCTTTCGTTTCCCCCGTCAAAAGAACGGAAAATAACTAGAGAATAGAGAGGAATCGTTGCGGGAAATCTAGAAAAAGAGAAAAGAAAAGAAAAACGAAGCGAATGTGAAAAGGGAAAATGCGATCGACCTTTGCTTCTTTTCCTTTTCACTGAACGATATCGATTCACTTGGAAAAAACCCCAATAAACTCAAAGAAATGACAAAAGAAAATGAGAAAGAATCAGAAAGAATCAGAAAATGATTTAGGAATTGAGAAAATCGAAAATCTTTTTACTATTTTACAAAGTTTTACAAAGTTTTACAAGGTTTTCCAATCAAAATCAGCGATTTTTCAGATTTTTGACTGTTTTTGACTGATTTTGACTGATTTTGACTGTTTTTGACTGATTTTGGCTGATTTTGGCTGATTTTTGACTGTTTTTGACTGATTTTGGCTGATTTTGGCTGATTTTTGACTGTTTTTGACTGATTTTGGCTGATTTTTGACTGATTTTGACTGATTTTTGACTGTTTTTGACTGTTTTTGACTGATTTTGACTGATTTTGGCTGATTTTTGACTGATTTTAACTGTTTTTGACTGATTTTGACTGATTTTGACTCCTTTTTCACTCATTTTTCCTTCGCAAATCCTTTTCTTTTCTTTAAAATGACCTTGTGACCAAGGGAAAACGCAAAAAAAAAACGTTTTTAACGAAAAAAACGAAAAAACGAAAGAAACTTTTGAGAAAAGATCCCGAAAAGAGATTTGCTAAGAGATTGGCGCATTTGGAAACGTTTGGAAATGCTTTGGAAAGTATTTTGGAAAGTTTTTGAAGGTAAGAGTTGACAAAAGTTGGATTCAAGTTGCTAATGACAAAAGGGGCGTGGCTAGAAAGACCTCCATCCCTTGCCATTGGCAATCTAACTTTGAGCTCAAATTTCTCGGTGTTCGGTTGTCCAATTGAAACATTTTTAATATCATTCGATTCCCCAAGTCTTTCTCTATCGATTGATAGAAAAACTATTGAAATTGGATCGACGAAAGCCGAGATATTTGAGCTGAAAGTTGGGCTGGAGAAAAGGGGCGGGGCTAGGACGAGCTTTTATATCCGCCCGGTCCCTTTGCCATTGGCAATCTAACTTTGAGCTTAAATTTCTTGATGTTAAGCTGTCTAAGTCAACAATTTTAGTATTATATTGATGGGATTGCCAATGGGGAGCGCGTATAAAAGGTCTTCCTAACTCCGCCCCTCAATCCAACTTTGAGCTCGAAAATCTCGGCTTTGGATTATCCAATTTCAATAGTTTTTCTACCAATCGATAGAGAAAGACTTAGGGAATCGAATGATACTAAAAAGGCTTAAATTGGACAACTGAACACCAAGAAATTTGAATCTAAGTCAAAAGTCTAGCTGATCCAACTTTGAGCTCGAATATCTCAGCTTTCGTCTATCCAATTTCAATAGTTTTTCTACCATTCGATAGAGAAAGACTTGGGGAATCGAATGATACTAAAAAGGCTTAAATTGGACAACTGAACACCGAGAAATTTGAGTTCAAAGTTAGATTGCCAATGGCAAGGGAGGGAGATCTTTCTAGCTCCGCCCCTTTTGTCACTAGTGCATAACCGATAACCAAAAATCAATATCAATCAGCAAAAATGTCCAATAATCAAAGTTTTATCCATTTTTTAGAAAACACAAGTTGAAAGAAAGGGTTTTGAACAAAAATCAATTCGAAATTTCATTTTTTGGCATTTTATTTTTGAATTTTGTCACAAAGAGTCGATGAATTCAAAAAAAGCAAAAAAAGTGAGCAATCCAGCCAGCTACATTCTAGTTGTGTGAAAGAAATGAAATTGAAATGTGTGAATCAGAAAAATGGGGGAAATGGGAGGGAAAATGAGAAAATTTGGGAAAATTCGGAAAACTGGCGATCTAGAAATGACCTGGCTTGGCCAGAAATGGCCTGGCCATCGTCTAGCATTGAACTTTCCGACTGTCGATGGGAATCCAGATCGAAATTGATGGGCTAACGCTTCGGCAGGCCTCCAATACACAATTTCAAAACGTTTACAGTTAAAGAAGGCGCACGAGATCAAAAATTGACTTTAGAGGGGAAAGGGGAGCTGTTCTTTGCATTCTCTGGCGTCTCACAGCTTCTCCCAACCTCTCCCAACCTCTGCTAGCATCCCCCAACCTCTCCCAGCCTCTCCCAGCTTCTCCCAGCCTCTCCCAGCCTCTCCCAACCTCTCCCAACCTCTCCCAGCCTCTCCTAACCTCTGCTAGCATCTCCCAACCTCTCCCAACCTCTCCCAGCCTCTCCTAACCTCTGCTAGCATCTCCCAACCTCTCTCAACGTCTCCCAGCCTCTCCTAACCTCTGCTAGCATCTCCCAACCTCTCCCAACCTCTCCCAGCCTCTCCTAACCTCTGCTAGCATCTCCCAACCTCTCCCAACCTCTCCCAGCCTCTCCTAACCTCTGCTAGCATCTCCCAACCTCTCCCAACCTCTCCCAGCCTCTCCTAACCTCTGCTAGCATCTCCCAGCCTCTCCCAACCTCTCCCAGCCTCTCCTAACCTCTGCTAGCATCTCCCAACCTCTCCCAACCTCTCCCAGCCTCTCCTAACCTCTGCTAGCATCTCCCAACCTCTCTCAACGTCTCCCAACCTCTCCCAGCCTCTCCCAACCTCTCCTAGCATCTCCCAACCTCTCCCAGCCTCTCCCAGCCTCTCCCAACCTCTCCCAGCCTCTCCCAACCTCTCCCCTTCTCGACCTCCGACCTGATAGCTCTCTTTCACCCCCATGCCTCTAACAAAAAACGATTTCCATTTCCCGCTTTCTTTCTCTTTCTTTCTCTTTCAAATTGATCGATTCCTTTCCTTCAGTGATCTTTGAAATTCCCCTTGAAACGTGTGGATTCCCAAAAATCGTTTCCTTTCTTTTCTTTCTTTTCTTTCCGTGTTTCTCTGATCTCTTTGTACAAAGAAGTTCACAAAAAAAAAACGAAAAGCTCTGTTATAAAGGAAAGAACTGGG